AATAGTCTTCAATTTTCGATCTTTTCCAAACTTTTCTGTAAAAAAGCTGAGAGAAAAATAATGTTGATTTCCAAAATGTATTTTGTTGTAGTTAATTGCCTGGTTATTTTTTTTTCCAGAGTTAAAAACAATTCTTATATCTTGTCTTGCATTTCTACTGTGGAAGCTATTAGGAAATATTTACATTTAATAAAACTTTTGCACTTTTCCAGCATCTTGATAAGAAGTTGTGATAGTGCACTTCAAACTTTATTACTAAACATGGAAAAACATCCTAGCAGTAAAATAGTGTTGGGTTTGTTTTTTTGTTTTTTTGTTTGTTTGGTTTTTTTTTTTTGCTTAAATTGTATAAAGTTGTTTTGGCAATAGGAAAAAGCCTGGATTTGTTTCCTCTCCTAGATTGTCAGCATGGTTAAGAAGCTAAAAAAAAAGTCAAGATAACTGAAGGTGCTTGTGTTGTAGAGATTCTATTTACTGTCCAAATGTGAAGTTAATAGCAAGGTTTTGCTGAGTATATATCTGCTTGCACATCTTGCTGTAGTGGTTAAATATGTTATTATCTCAAGTGCTCATCGTTTTCAAAAAGCTGATGTAGTGCAACTGTCCCTGGTGTTCTGCGAAATAAATAGTTTGAATGGGCTTGCATCTGGTTCAGGCAGAATCAACTGGGCTAATTAAAACTGCTGAAACTAACCTGACTGACCTTTCATGAAATGAACTGGGAAGCTTTTAGGTATGTGCTCGGCCAGCAGAACTGCAAGGCAAAAGCAAGTTGGTGCAGGAAGGGGGGTGGGGACAGCGACATTTCGACTTGCACCATTGCTTGTGGCAAGAGCAGCTTGTGTGCATTCAGAAACTGGCCTTTTGCTTATAGGAATACTGCTTGTTCTCATGAAAAAGACAGTTCCTCCCCAATTTTTGTTTGTTCTTTGCAATGCACAAATGTTTATAGGGAGCAACCCAGTGTATCCTTAGAAATATTCTTTGTACGATGTCTCCTTAAACTGCAGGCTGGTGGTGTGCTGGAATGTGGGGGTATCTTTGTGGCTGTTTTCTTCATCAGTCTGATTCTTTTGAAAGCATCTTACTCTGCTTGTATTTTCCATACTAGAGGTTTACAGAAAAATGTTTATACTACAGCCTCAAACATTTACTGAAATGCTAGAAAACCTAAAGAATTTCTGTGGATTCCTTATATTAAGATCAGATGTGGGAATGTCACATTGAATATCTGCTGTACAAAACTCAGATGATTTTAGTGGAAAATAAGAATCTGAAATGGTATGTGCCTAGCAGCAAAATAAAAAAAAAGCAGGGGGAAGGGAATGGTCAGAGAGAATTGTATAATGGGCCAGAATTACACCTCGGTGGTTACAAGTCCATTTCTCTGCTGTACTGACAGAGGAAGTAATTACTGCGTTTATGTCTTTTTCAATGACGTGAAACTAGTTTCTAAAGCAAAGTGGAGTATTTGAGAGAAGCCCGCAACGCCAGCAATGCAGTAATCCATCTGACTGAAACGTCCTGTGCTCTGAGACAGTTTCAGCTGCAGGGCAGTTTATACAAAAATGGTTTTTAAGGTGTTTAACAGTACTTTGTCCATTTTTAATTTTTCAGTAGTAATTGCGCTGTCAACTGAAACTTGGCTTTAATTGTTTTTTTTATTACTCTAAAAGTTAGCATAGAATATAAATAGCGTTAAGATTAACAATCTCACTGAAGCTGATGGAGAAGCACATAAGCAGATATTGAATGTAAAGTAGTATTTTGCATAAGAAAGCTTGTTTCATTGTGAGTCAAACCAAACAGATTTCCTTATTAAGGCTAATAGTTATTGAAACAAAGCTCAAGTGAAAAACAGTAAAATGTTAAAATTCTGTAGTTATTATCATGTTGACTTGTGCTTAGCAGGCGTTTCATGAACATTGTTTAAATTAGCATGTGGTTATGTGCCTGTCTGTGTGCTGGGAAGAAGGAGCCTTTGTGTTTGGGAAACCCAAGAAGGTCCTTCATAGTTACTGGTAGTCTGCTTTAAGGTAGGAAGGCACTGGCAACCCTAGCCAACTGTGCCACCTTGACTGCAGATGGTGAGCGTCAACCTGTCCGTGACTTTTCTACCTCATCTGTAACAAGTAATAAAAACCCACTGCTTCTGTGGTTCTTGCCACTTGAACTTGTGTTGGCCCCACCTGGCTCAGGGCCTGCTTCAGTGAAGGGACCTGGAGCAGGAGCAAGCCCCAGTAGCCTTCAAAGCAGGTTGTATGCTCCAAATTAGGTTTGCCTAAACTGTTGCTCGCTCTTCCATGCTTGAGAAGAAAGCTTTTAACTTTGGAATTATGAGTTAGGAGGGGGAGGGGGGCAGTAATAGCTTTTGATGGTATTGATTAGTCTTTTGTGATCTTGGACCTTCCTGAGAAGAAGAGAAAAGATAGGAATGGACATTGCTGGCAAATCCTAACTGAAAAAGCTTAGTTTAAAATTTTATGGCTGGAAGTTTTGTATCAGATGATGACATTTTGTTCCTGTCTAAAACTGCTAAGAGAATAGCGATCTTATATTGAAAGAGAGAAGAAAAACATTCTTCCTTGCAGATGTCATTGTATTCAGAGAAAAATATTGCTGTGGAATGCTGATGGTTTCTGGAAAGCTTATGAGAAGCATGTATCTGAAGGAGAGAATTTGTGAGGAAAGGAACACTTGTCTACTTAGTTGCTACAAAGACTCTTTTTTTTACCTACAGTATTGTAATTTGAGTTTTATGCTTCTCCTTAAAGAATGTTGTTCCTTGAAAATGCAAAGCTTTTTTGAGGTGTGTGAAGATTACTGATCTCTTCTGTCTCCAGTCAGTTCTATCCTTCACTTACTAGAAGCTGCTTTTCCAAACTCATGTCAAACTCTTTCCTTTGAGTTTATCCGAGATCTTAATTCTCTTACATGAACAGCTTTGAGGCTGGAAGAACAATCCAAAAGTTTTCCTGTTTTTCTAATGCAGTATCATTCTTCATTTGAGTATTAATTTATGTTTGAGATCTTCTGTGAGCCTCATGGTTCTTTCTGAACAAGACTGGTTTTGTAAGAGCTGAAGATGACTCTGTTTCTTGTTGCAGTAGTGGCCCATTATTTCTTATTTTGTCACTTCAGAATGGATTATTAGGACAATGAGATAAATTAGGATACAGACTTAAGTTTATGTTACCAAAATTTTTAAGCTTCAAAGTTTATAAAAGGTAAAGGATGTTGATTTAAAGATCATCTCCTAGAATGTGCTGTGACAATGTTTTTTAAACACTCTGTTAAAAATGGACCTGAGAGAACCAAATTATATATTCGTTTGTTTATAATTATTTTATTTGAAAAGACCACTTAGTATTTTTGAATGTGTAATGTTTCAGCTGTAATAATCTTTCAAGTATGCCTTTTCCTAGTAATAGAAGTAGAGAGGTCTACATGAGTTGCATTACAGTGTTGATGAGAAGTAGACTGGTGAAATTGCATTAGCCTCAGAGTAGTGATTTTGGTTTTTGTGCATTAGAAACTTCCGTTGAAATAATTTGATGTTCATCTTCGTTCTCTTGTAGCCCTGTTCGTTGTTTCTTAAGCTATTGCACATTGATCTAGAAGCTTTTTCAGATATCTTAGAATGGTTAATTCCTTGTGGTTTTGTAACTAGGTCTCACACACCTCTTGTTTTAATGTAGAGTGCTGGCAAATAGCTTGTGATGTTGTGGTCAGATTTTTTTGAGCCTCATGTCTGCTTCCAGTTGGTCTTCTAAACATGAGGTCGTGCTTTTTCTTTCTGTAAATTTGGGTATTTTAAACTAATAGACCGATGTAGACATAACTGACAGTCCAAAGCTAGTGGAGTCCTCACATTTCTAACCTGGCCTCAACATGGCTCTGAGCTAGAACAGAGACAATGTTACTGATGATTCCACACACTGCCCCCCCCAGCCCCGCCCTGGGTGTCTCACTTGTCAGCAGTCAATCCTTGAGAAACTGAATCCTTCTGAATCAAGTGTTTCAACAAGTCTGGTATGAAATATTTGTGATGAAGCACCAAAATGTTATATATGTGTTAATTGTTAGTAATTAATGACTGTCCAACTAGTTTAAAAATGACTGTTTTTCAAAGACAAATCCATAAACAAGGAGAGCAAAATTAAGATGGGTCATTCAAGGGGGCCTACAAGAAAGATAGGGAGAGGCTGTTCAGGAGGGCCAGTTGTGATAGGACAAGGGGTAATGGTTTTAAAATAGAGGGAGGTAGATTCAGGTTGGATATTAGGAAAAAATTTTTTACCATGAGAGTTGTAGAACACTGGAACAGGTTGCCCAGAGAGGTGGTGGATGCTCCATCCCTGGAGACGTTCAAGGCCAGGTTGGATGAGGCCCTGAGCAACCTGATCTAGTTGGAGATATCCCTGTTCCTTGCAGGAGGGTTGAACTAGATGACCTTTGAAGGTCCCTTCCAGCCCTAACCATTCTATGATTCTATGATTCAGACCGATGCTTCAATCTCAGCAGATGCCCCTGTGTCAAAAAAGGTCAGCTGCTGAGTGAAGAGTACAACTGACTTTTTTTTGCCATTTCTGTACTTCCTCAGAATCTCTTATGTAGAGGTAAAATTATTGCTTATGACAAAACGGTATTGTAGAATCATTCAAATGGAAGACACCTCAGGTATAGTCCAAGCTCCTGCTCACAGCAGGATTAGCACTGATCTTGAACGACATTGCCTAAAGCTTTGTCAAGCTGGATCCTTGATTTGCTTATTTCTTACTTTTGTGATTAAGAAAAGCAGTTAGTTGTCAAACTTTATTCTTGTATTGGAGATACCAGTATCCATGGAAAATAAAGGCATTTAAACAAGTAATTAAAGTTTTCCGAAATATAAAATTAATCTTTGAAAATATTCAGTGATGTGTGAATTTTGTGAAATATGGGAGGCCTGTGAAGCAACATAAAAAGACTGTTTTCTAACTGAATATTTTTTGGTTTAGAGCCTCGATGAATATGAAGATGATGAAGCAGGGCAGAAGGAGCGAAAGAAGGAGGATGCTATTACCCAACAGAATACGATACAAAATGAGAGTTCCAGTGCAGATACCCCTGGCTCATACTTTTTACAGGTGAGATCTTAACACTTGCTCATTTCGGTATTTTACTCAGTTTTAAAACTCATATTGCTACCTTCTTTGTACTCCTACTTAACAGTAGATTGTATCCTATATGGAAACAAACACGAAGTTCAGGAGATGTCACATAACTAAAACCAGAGTATGAGGTTTTATTTCACAAAATCAACACTACTGGGTCCTGGTTCTGACAACAGAATCCTGTTTCTGTAGGGGATTTGAAGTTAACGGTGTTGATGTTTACCATAAAATTTATTATTTAATGAGAGGAGGAGAAACCTGGAAATTCAAATGAAAACCACTCATAGCTTTAGAATATTCAATTAATTGGAGATAAGCTTTTCAAATCAGGACCCAATTTCCTAGTTTAATTTATTGTCAATTAACAAACTTCTAATTACTGATTCTGGGGTTGAAACAAACACGCACAATCTTAGGGAAAACACTCCTTGCGTCTGTGAAACCTGTTCTGCCTCTTCCCCCTCTTCTTTTTTTTTTTTTGGTGTTCTTCAATCCCCTCGCCACAGATTGCACTCAGTCCTGCAACCCTCCTCACTGATAAACATTGCCAATTATGCCTAATACTCCCCTCCTGTGTACTATAATACCTGTGGCAAATGTTCCGTCTCTTTCCTTTCATGCCTCTAGTCTCTAGCCAGTCTTGTTTCTCCTCTTCTGTTACCTAAGGGCATGTGCAAACCCAGCACTGAGTCCATCTAGCTCTGCCTGTTGAGTCTTAAGAGGCAATAGCACATGCGTAGGGAGAAAAATATACCAACAGAGCAAGCACATGGTATTAGTTTTGAAAGCACCCATAACCAGAGATGGCATCGCTGAATTTAGTGGGTCTGGATGCACTTCCCTTCTAAAATTTTGCCCAGTCTTTCATACATTCATGGATGTGTTTAACATTCAGAAGAGCCTATGGCAGAGAGGTCTACAGCTTAATTACCTGGAATGTGAAGAACAGTCTCTTTTTGTTAAAGTTGAACCTGTCATTTGCAGTCTGTTTCCATGTGATTTCATCAAGGTGTCCCAGTGGAAGACATGGGGAACAACTGCTTCCTCTTTATGTGGCTGAGCGCTGCAGAGAGAGCACGGCCCCTCTCAGCTGCCTCTTCTCTAGGCTGAAGAATTCTATTTTATTTAGTTGTTCTTTGTGCAGAGGATTCTTAGTAACATTCTGTACTTTTTCTGGTTTGACTATATTTTATTTGGGATCAGGAAACAACTGAAGAGTTCAGTACAGCATGGAGTTGTAGAGTGGTTTAATGGTGGTTTTGTTTTGTTCTCTATTTCTTTCCTGACAATTACTGATAACTGCCTGTTTGTCTGCTGAGCACTGAGTTTATTGTTTTTATTATGTGTGTATAGTCTAACTTAACTTTTGGAGTTATCTGTGAGTGATAGTGACAAGCTCAGAGGTTGATGCATATGTAAATTTAGAAGCATGTTTACCTTTTTGTCTTGCTTTGTACTTATATACACACTAAATTTCATCTCCTGTTTCACCTCCCAGCGACTCCTAATAGACAAATCCTGCATGTTTTCACGATTCACCCTCATCTCTTCTATTCTGAGTAGCATCTGTGGACATCTTCCTGAATATGTAGAAAAGCATAGTTCCCTTGGAACTCTTTTGGGTTCTCCATCCACTGCAGAAGCTGATCATCAGGGCCCACCATTATTTGCTGTCTCTTCACCAGTGATTTATTCATGGAAGGACGTTAGCTCTTATTCCAGTGTGGCTTAATTTCTTTAAGAAGGTTTGGGGATGCCTTTTTGAAACTCATTAGGCTGCCAACCACCTTTCTCTTCTGGACATTTTTTTCACTTAAAAAGCTGTATTAGATCTGTGAAGTGTCACTATTTTACAGATGCCCTCTTGACTCTTCCACACTATATCATCTTTACTTGCCTATTCCCTAATTGTTTTAGACTACTAGCACAAATTTATTCGGTATCAGTATCAAGCTTACTGGTCGATAGTTCTTTTATCTACTCTACCTTCTTCTTAAAGATAGCGATTATGTTAACCACTGGTACCAGGGCGGTTTTAAGTGAGAGATCACATGTGATTTTGAGTAGTGTAACTGTTATATTTCCATAGTTCCTTCAAAGCGCAAGGAGTAAATACCTTCTCATTCTGGCAGCTATCTTTTTTTTTTTTTTTTTAAATTGTTAATTTGTTTTCAAGTTCTACCAGTGCTTCTGTTTGAAACAGAATCTTTGAGTCTTCCATGAAGAAGCACTCTGATGTGAGACCCTTACCATGCTTTTCCATGATTAACACCAACAAAAATATTTCTGCGGAGAAATTGTCTCCTCTGAGCATGCCTCTTATAACTTGATCTATTGTCTTTGCAGATTCTTTGGCAAGATTCCTCATTCTGAAATGTTTTTATACTTTTTCAAGTTGTTTGTTAGACTCTTTCTTACTGTGTTCACTCTGTTTTCATTTCTTCAACAAATATTCTGAAAGTTGTCACTTTTTGTTTTCCCTAGTGGCTTTATTATGTAATGCTTTCGCTGTTCCTGTTTTTTCATCCATATTTTCTATTCTTCTTGAACAGCAATCTCAGTTTCCATTTACCAGGCTGTCTGTATTAATTGTATCCTACATGGTTCCAAGTTTGTCACCTCTGTAGTCAAACAGGCACTACTTTGTTGACAGAGCACAGCAGGAGTGTCCTGTCACTGACAATACAGAAGAGAATCCCAGTCCTCAAATTTGGCAGAGACCCAGGATGGCACATGTACAGAACAGATGGAAGCTTAGAAAGTTGTAGCTGCTAAGACTTAATCAGTTTATTACTGACTCTGTAACTCGCTTTTTATGAGAAGACTTACAACTTGCCCAATTTGAACAGAATTTGACAGCAGTGTTATTTCAGCTTTGATGACTTAGTTTCCTTTTGTTTCTCCTCTGTGCAACAGTTAAGCCTAATTCTGTTTAAAAGTAGTTTGGTTTAGATCTAAGATTTCAGTCAATTCTAGTTGCCATTCACCAGTATTTATTCTAGTTCTATCTACTAAGCAGAATAAATACATTTCTGAAGTTAGACATGTTCACTGACTTGTCCATTCTATTATCAGTTTATGAAATTTGTAAATATATAATTACTCTGACATATGGGAAACAAGACAGTTAATATTGACTTGATGTATGTTGGACAAATATATTTTCTTTCCAGTCCTTAACCTACTCTTTCACTTCTATTTTAGCATTGTCAGAAGTTGCTGCTCTCCTTTTCAGGGGCAAAATGCACAGTTTTTAAAAACTTCGGCTGAATTTTAAGTCCTTGATCCAAAGCTCAGAGATACGGGCTTTTTTTTAAAGAATAGATCTAAAAATATACCAGACATGTGAGTGTTTTTCCTGAAGCAGAACTATTTGACTGAAAGCAGCTTCTCAATTATTTTATATTGAAAATATGGAGATGATAGGTCTGGCAACATTCTAAACATTGAAAAACAATTACAATCAGAATTGTTACTTAACTTCAGCAAAAGATAACATTCTGTGATTCTGTGATACTGTGGAAAGCCCCAGGTCAGTGAGTGAATCAATGCTAAATCCACTCCCAAACACAAAACAAGTTTTACATCTGACTTGGACTTCCTGGCTTGATTTTTCTCCTATTTGTAATGCTGCAATTTAGTGGTTCTCTGCTTGTGGTTCACTGTGCTGTGTACTACTTACTAATGTGTATGGGGATGTGGGCCAAATTGGGAAGGCTGAGAAGATTAATCCAAAGCCAACATAAAGCCTTGCAGTGGGAGAGACGTGTAGGTTCTCTATCCCTTGAAACTTTCAAATCACAACTGACAGTTTTTCTGGAAGTTATTCCATAATCACACGGAACTGTCATTGTCAATACCTTGGAAAGAGTTTGAAATCCTTTGCTTCGTGTTATCTTTGGTTCCGTTCTGCGTACATTTTGTTTCAAATGTTGTAGTGTCTATGAATGCTAGTTGTTGTGCTATGCACTGTATGAACACACTGCAGAAAATTTCATTAGTTGTGAACAGTTTGACATTTAAGTGTAAGATGTGGGAATGGTTGAGTAAATATATATTGGCAAAAGCAGCAAGAAACAATAAAGTACTTGAGATCGTCAGAGTTATTTTTAACATTGACATGGTTTACTGTATTCTAGGTGTATGTTTTTCTCCCCACTGATGACAAAAGAGGTCTCACTAGATCAGATATAGGCTTCTAAAATTAGATGGGCTGAATCCTTCCCTCTCCCTAGCAAACTTGGACCAAGCATGTCAGAATGTTTTTTGCTACTAACATAGCTTGGAAAAAGGGATCAGTTAGAGAGAGCATGAGATCCCCTTCACATGCTCACACGCAAATGGGTAAGCTCTGAGTAACTGAGGTTCAACCTTTGTGAAATAAATACTCTGAATCCTTGAAATGAAAGGTAATGATTTATAAAAATGAGAATGATTTAGAGTATCCTGCTGTAAAAAGGGAATAGTGATCTTTAATATTGTCACACAGTAGCAAAATGTGTCTAGTGTATTCCTTAATTCCAAATTAAGAAACTGCAGATCACAGTTACCAATACCTTTTGTGTCTGGAATGACTGCCAAATATCTCTCTATGGTGATCTGCTAGAAACCTGCTTTTGGGTTAGTATTGCTGTCATGAAACTGGTAGGGGAATTTTGCTTCTCAGGCATTCTGAAGCCTGGGACCCCAGTGAGAGACATGAGTCACTCTTTTGTTAAGCCACAGCAACTGCGTTGCTGTACCTGATTGCATGTTAAATACTATTGGGAAGCCCAGGACCTCTTTGAAGGCCCTTGCACTCTAGTTAGAAATTGCCATCGTTTTGTTCCAACTGTTAGTTTGTTTTGTGTATGCAATTGTAATGGATGTTTCTTGGAATCCTGATATTACTCTTAGATTGTGCAGCAATGAGAAACTGAAGAAATTTTAAGATGTTTAATCTTACCAAATTATTTTAGACAAGATACAATATC